CATGGGCATGTGAGGGGCGTGTTTTCTACACATGGAAAACTGTCTTTTTTTTTTTTTAACTACATGTGCACACAGTAGCGCTAGGGAGTAAAAACAAGGTCTCACATGCCAAGTACATACTCTAACGCTGTCTTTTTATTTATAAACCTTGACTTTATTTATTTATTTAAAAATACGGGCACATGTGGGGGTGTGTGCACATGAGTGCAGGTGTTCACAGAGGCAAGAGGCTTCAGGTCTGCCAGAGCTGCAGTTATACCCAGTTGTGAGCCCCTCACTGTGGGTGCTGGAGCCAAGCTCAGTCCTCTGGGGGAGCAGTATGCACTCTGAACCACCGAGGCATCTCTTCTGCCCATCTTTATTTTCAAGCATTACGTATTGAACTTTACCTTTATCTAAAGAAACAACAGAATCTTATTAACTTACAATTTATAGATATGTAATCTTCACAACTGGAAAATTTATTAACCAAAATTTAAGAGTTATAAGAACTTATTACTAAAATAAAGTTCTCAAAGTGTTTATCTAATTTTTGCAATCACATTCTCCTGTTCAAAGGTGTATGTGTGTGTGTGCATGCACACAGTTATACATACATATATATATATATATATATACATATGTACGAAACTGAAAAAGTCCAGGCTTTGAGAATGGTGCTGAGTAAAAGAAATACAGAAGCTGGTTGTCTATAATTTCCATGTTCCTGTATGTCATTTTGACAATTCTTTTCCACTTTAATCCACTTCACTCTTACATATATTTTTGACTATTTGTTATTCAGAATACACTATTCAACAAACCACAAATACAATAACCAAAAAGAAAAGGAGGAAGGGAAGGAAAGATAATGCAGTCCTTGCTATCATGATGATCAGAATGTGATAGATAATGAGTCCTCCAAGCACAACAGAAAACAAGGCATGGACACTTACACACACCATTAAAGAATAAGGACATGGCAATGTTCAAAAGAAGAATGGCAGATCCCAAGTTGGGTGGGGATGGGAACTGTGAAGAGATTTTGCTGAAGGGTGCAACACATGGGTTGCATGTAAAGATGCAGAGGCAAAGACACTGAAGGTAGAGAATGTGGCATATATGTAATAAAGGCATGTGATGGGAAAACCCCAGGCATATCTGGAATAGCACCTTGAAGTGTGATCTAAGCATGTCTATAGAGGAGCAGTTAAAAATGAAGCCAGAAAGTGAGACAAGAGCCAGATTATCAGAACACGTGAATGGCACTAAGGAGAGAGTACTCATAAGGGTGTCTGAGGAAACCCGATCATATGTGTGATACTGAGCTGTGGGATATCCCACTTGCCAAATCACTTCTGTTTAATGTCACCTACATCTGCCTTTCCATTTCTCCTTCAACAGCACCAGCACACTTCTCTTCTCCCTGCTACAATGGCAATAACCATATTCTTACTTACAGAAGCAGGTGCATGTGTGTTTTTTCAGGTTCAAAGACTGTAAACTCTCTGGAGCACACTGAGCTTTGCCTCAGGGATCAAAGCATACACTCAACACTAAATAACTGCAAGTGAAGTATAAGAGACACATCTTACGACTCACACTCTAGCTATTTTGCTAGTTTAGTCCCTGGTACTGCCCTTGTAATGCTAAGTACTTTCTGTTTTAAGTCTTCTTGGTAAGCTGTCAGCTAGAATTTACATTAAGATGGGTATGGAAATTACAAAAACCCTCCAGTTGCTCTTCTTTCATGGGTATACTCCTTCCTGTGTGATACACAGGATGGAATGGAGCCAATCTGGCATAGTCATGGTAGGACATACATCCAGGCCAGCTAGAGAAATCAGTCATCTCATAAGCACTCAAGTTTGAGTTCTCTTAGTCCCGGACTCTGCTCAGAATAATACCGCAAACACAGCGTCTCACCTCCCTTCTGAAGCAGATGCTCTATATCTGGGTATCTAGTCTCTAGCGTCATTCCCTTTGTCTCATCTTTAGCCTATGGTCAGAATGATTCAGTTAGACACAAATCTCTTCATATTCTACCCAGTAAAAAACTTCAGTACCTTCCTACATGGCATGTGAAGCTCTTAATTTTCAAGCCCATTCTTCTGCCATTCTTTTCACTTACCAAGTATTTACCGATTGATTATTATGTATGTGAAATATTTTAAATGTGTGTGAGAAAGAATTAAACAGATATACAGCAAATCTAAAGTCAAAAAACTAGAAAACCCCCGTTCTTGTGAGAGGTTTGATTGCAGGAGGGAGAAGGTAGAAGAAAAGCTAGGTAAAACGTTACAGTTTCGGAGGAGAGAGAGGAATGAAGAGATGCAATGAAGAAAACATAGTAAAGAATGAGGTAGGGTGGTCAAGGCAGGCCTTAATGAAAAGGTGTACTGGAGCAGACACTTGAAAAAGAAGAAAGGCTGCTGGAGGCTGAAAACCACAGCCCAAAGGCCCGGGATGAGAGCAAGGCAAGAGTTCTCACAGACTGTTAGGGATTGGGGCAGTTGATGCAAAATGGGTGGAGAGAGGGAGAAGAGCCAAGGATGAAGAGGAGGCACACAGAGTACAGAGTGACTGTGGAGGCCTCCACTGACCATTGCAAAAACTTGAATTTTATTCTGAGCAAGACAGGAAACACTTGAGACACCAGGAGCAAAGGAATGGCATGACTCAGAGTTTAAAAGACTTGCTACAGAGCTGGCTACTGTGCTAAGAGACTAGGGTGGGAAGCAGGACTCTAGCGGACAGCAACTGCAATAGTCGAGATGAGAAAGCAAGGCCACTTCTGTGGCTTGTTTAAGGCAAGTTTGGAATACAGAAACAAGGATTTTAAGGAACAATCTGCAAGATTTTCTGAGACATTGGCCGTGGGGTGGAAGGTTTTTGGACCAAGGAAAGACAGTGAGGTGGGTGTGGCATTACCTGAGCTAAAAGAATGCTGGTGATAGGTTCTGAGGCAGAGATCTGGAGTTGTTTCTGACACACTGGACAAATAGTATATAATGTATGAGTGTATATAAAGTTCATGACAGAAAGGCACCTGTCATCTTACACAATTCCCACATCTAGGCTTACACACCATACAATCCTCGTGTCTTTATGACTTCTATTCTGAAGGTTCTTCCCACCTTCATCTTTTTCTACTTAGTTAAAATACTATTAGCCTTCAAACTGGACACCAGGCTACTCTGTGATACACATGATCAGCACTTCCTGAATCACTGTGCTCTTTGCCTTCAGTCACTTAAGGCTAAAATATGAATACTTGGACGCATGGCATATTTTTAAAGCTACATAATTTTCATTTTGGCAAAAATAAGGCAGATATTTTATAAACACAGCAGGTGGCCCACCTGCTCTCATCCTCAGATAAGTCCTTTAAGGAAAATCAAGACCACAAAAAAGAGATCTCAACAAGTGGTCCAACACCTAATTTTGTACTTTTCAACATTTGCAGTTATCTGAAGATCATTTTTCAAAAAGGCTTGTATTATAGCATAAACTTTATAGGCTGCAAACAAGGAGTGAAATATCTTTTGACAGTTTTACAAAGCTAATTTTCATTTTGACTGTCATTCTTTTGCTTGCCCCGGGGAGGCATTTAAGTTAGGGGAATGATTAGACAAAAGAACAAAAGAGCATCTAGCATGTTTGTGCCACTTGTAGGCAACAGCATCTAATGCAATCAAGAAAAGGGAGGAAATATGACCTTAGAGATGCTAAGTTCAACTACAGTCTCCCAGGTAAGAATGCTGGACACTAGGCGGCCACTTCTTGAACACAGCACTTTCTCAAGGAGCAGCACTGTGTGGTTACAACCAGCCCTCGGGGAAGTTGCTTAGCAACAGTGACTATCCCATGCACGACTGTTTCTCTGGTACCTAAAAACGCACCTGGCAGACAGTGCAGAATGAATGAACGGGTAGATGGATGGGTGGATGAGCAATTCTAATCTCATGGTGCTGAAATCTATTAAATACTAATCATGAAACTGGTATAAAAAGCATTTCTTCAAAGTTTGGGGAAAAATGCTGACTCAAAGTCATTGTCTTTAAATAGTAATTACAAAATGTTAATGGCAAATTAGAGTTGGGGGATGAAGTAACAATCTCATTAACAATACATAACTTTATAAAATTCTGAATAGATCAAAAGCAAGATGATACTCTGACAACCATACTCGCTTCTTCAGACAGTAGTCTGATAAATATTCACTGTAGGAAAATTGAAGACCTCTGAAACATGCCATTAGAGAATCAAGATTCATGGGTGGGGAGAATGGCTTCCTCAGAAAAGCATCTGCCAAGTTTGAGGACTTGAGTTTGCTCTTCAGAACTCAAGCAAGGGTTCAATACTCTCCCAGTGCTGAGAGGTGGAGACAAATCCCCAACTGCAGGCCAGCCAGCTCAGTTAAGGCAGCAAGCTCTATGGCAAGAGAGCCCTGTCTCAAAAGACAAGGTCTCTAAAACCAAACCAAATCAAGCCACCACCACAAAACAAACAAGATAAGGTGGAAAGTACCTGAGGACACCATTCAAGGATGACCTTTGACCCACACACCACACTCATATAACCAAATGTGCACACGCATGCATGAGTGCATGGACCCCAGCTTACACAACATAAGTACACCTAGGAAAAAATATCAACTTTGATTTCAGAATGCAATAATACAGTAGGTTAAGGTAACTCCAATAGCCGGGTTCTGACAGTTCTCTGAAGACACTCTTACTACTTGCTTCTGTTTTGTTTTTGAGACAGGGTCTCACTCTAGCCCTGGATGGCCTGGAACTCACTATGTAGACCAGCTAGCCTCACTCACAGAGATCTGTTGGGATTAAAAGTGTGTGTCATTATGCCGCATTTACTACTTGGTTTTGAACCCCAAAGAGCAGAAAGCAAACATTACAAACAAAACCATGGTTTGCATGCAGCCAATAAGCAATCTAATGTAAGTATCCTAAACCCCAAGAAAAATATCAAGTATCAGTTTAAAGTTACAAAACACCAACCTCTTTAATCTCATGTAGTTTTCACTGGCAGCAGGTCGGCATTCGGCTCTCTGTACCACTATTCCTTCCAATGACAGTTTATCTTGAATGAGAAGAGAAAAACTGTATTCAGAGATAACATTCATCATTTCTAAGATGGCATTTTGACATATAACTAAAACATAATTCACAGAATACCAGGAAACAAAAGGATAGTATTAAGTTGATAGCAACATCACTTATCAGAATAGAGAAACCTCATTCTTAAGCTGCAAACTGGAGACTTTCTGGCTTGTTCCTTGAGCTGCACTGCCCCTTGTCAACAACAGCTTTCAAACACACTCAGAGTAAAAGGGCATACAACCAAATAAAAAGGTGGAAGATTCCATCTGTAACACAAGTAACTTCTAGAAATACAGTAAATCAAAGATCCGTACAAACACACAAATGATGTCCTAGAACACCTTGTGGGGAGAACAGCCAGCTAAGAAAATACTGTGAACTGGGCAGCTCATTATCTAGGTTATACTGTGTACTCTGGATCCTAAATGATAAAGAGTGTGTCAACGTGAATCTGTAAGCTGAGGAATGAGCATGTTTGTAGTCATAGCACTGGGGAGAAAGATAAAGAGGATATACATTTTGGGCCAGCCTGGGCTACACAGCAAGACTATTATAAGCAAACAGTGAATCTACTATGACTATCTGTTTAAACAGAAATGCAATTTTCTTTCTTATAGTGACCCTGACTTAAAACCAGGAGAAATAGAAAAGGAAATAAAAGCCCGGACCTTGCAAGCCCACTGGCATCAGGCACCATGGCAGAGTGAAGCTGATGGGCATGGCCTACTATGTAAGAGGCATATGACTGCCTCTCACAGACAGCAGTAGGACAACCTGAAAATCTAAGACTGTGGTTAGAAACAGCTCCTGGTCAGTCATTTCCATGAGAATTCACCTGAACTCTGAGAAGGGACTAAGAAAATCCTCTGACTAACCAGGAATGCACTGATTCATCTCTTCAAGGTGACTTACTTCATTCATTCCATTAATGTAAATGACTACCACACAAAGGCACCATGTGGGCATTGGAGAATCAAAGATGATTAAGATACAGCACTGTCTTCAAGCAGCACCCGTTTGCTATACAAACAGTGACACATCAAATAAAACGCAGACTCACACGGAACCACATTACACAGATCATACTGGAAAATCTTCCCATGACTTTCCTAGATTTTTGTCTCCAAAATTCAAGGAGTTATATCCTGTGGTCTTAAATACTAATTATGAAACATACCATCTGAATTAAATATTCCCAGAATACCTCAAAACAAAAAAATCTTTAGTGTCGGCTAAGAAGTGCTGGAAAGCACAATGACAAGACCCACACATATTTCACACTACAATGTGCCAGGAAAGAAATACTATACAAGTCACAATCCTTTACATTTTAAGCCTGAAAAGAAGTCCCTGTCACGAGTGGAGTTAGTAGGACTAAACTTTGAATTATCTCAAAGCAAACACAAATCTTATATCCAAGCTGATCTCTCGGATGAAACTGAGAGTCCAAAACAAGAACCCGATCCAGTCTCACAATAATAAAATCTGGAAAATTCTGATGTATTCTGTATCCTGAGTGTATGAGGAAAAGTCCAACACTACACAGTAAAAGATGCTTTTCTAAAACAAAGTAAGTCTAGGATAGAATCTTGATAATACATCAACCACAAATCCAAGTATTTACTAATGTTGAATGCTAAAATGGCTACTTTTAATACCATTTGTTAATGCTCCCCACCTATTTAGCAGTACCTACTCCAAGAGGATACACTGAATCTAATTCTTAAAGGGTGGGAAGAAGTTGAAGGCCCCTGCTCACTTCAACTTGACCGATACTTTCTATTCTTCAGTCAAGGTTACTCACACAGGGCAGTAACAATCCCTTCCCTAGACCATCCTTTTCTGTTTAGCATACCATCCTTTCAGACCTAAAACTGCTTTCAAATGCTTCTCAAGCTAGGGAAAGTCTTAATCATTAGCAATGAATTTTCCCATCAACTGGCTGGTGTTAGTGAACGCTCTGCTTCCCTTATTCCCTCTCTTAAATTTAAAAGGCCAACTTATTTTGGGTATGGCCCCCCAAACATGACTTGCCTGCTCATTGTTTAATGCTAACATGTACTTCTCAAACTCTCATGGGAACATGCTCTTGTATTTTCCCCATTGAACCATGCATCTTTTCTTTACAGTTCAAGGGGAAGATATTAAACATGAAATTCTAGCTTATAGCACTCACTTGTACATCATGGCTGGTAATTACAAACTGTATACATCAACACAGGAATCTTTATTTAAAACTACCTTTTGGACCAATTTGAAAGAAAGTGAATATTTGAAAAATAATCCTTTTTACTCTTATACACTTAATACATATTTATCAAGTGCCTATTGCCCAAGATGTCATGCAAAGCACATCAGATACAGATGTGGTCAGGGAATGCAGAGACAAGTGCACTCATTCTCAAATGTTTGTTCTGTGCTGGACGTTCTTAAAAGTATAGAAGCAGGGCTGGAGAGATGGCTCAGAGGTTAAGAGCACTGCTTGTTCTTCCAAAGGTCCTGAGTTCAATTCCCATTACAGATGGTTGTAATGAGATCTGGTGCCCTCTTCTGGCCTGTAGGGATATGTGCAGACAGAACACTGTATACATAATAAATAAATCTTTAAAAAAAAAAAAGTATAGAAGCAGCATGATTTCGACATTCCATGATACGTGTGTGTGTGTGTGTGTGTGTGTGTGTGTGTACACACAACACACAACATACCCAAAACAAATTAGTTTATTTGTGAATTTACAAAAAAATTAATAACTGAATGCATTTACATTGCCTTTTGTTTTGTTTTTGAGACAAGGTCATCTATGTTGCCATGACTGACCTAGAACTTACAGAAAGCCACCTATTTCTGTCTCCTAAGTATTGGGATTACAAAACGCTGCTTTGTTTTAAATGAAAAAGAAATATAGAAATCCCCAAGTAATTTCTTTTACTTAACTTAAATTGAATTCCTATTCATATATCTGCGTATGCCTATGTGAGTACGTGACTGTGTGTGCAGGTGCTCACAGAGGTCAGAGGCCTCAGCTCCTCTGGGGCAGGAGCTACAGGTGGTTGTGAGCCTCCTGACACTGAGGCTGGGAACAGAACACTGGACTTCTGGGAGAGTAACTTGAAAACTGTGTATGTGTATGTACATGACACATGTGTCCAAGTGCCCAGAGAGGCCAGAAGAGGAAGTCTGATGCCTTGGAGCTAAGTTCTAGGTGGTCATGGGTACCAGATGTGGTGCTGAGATATGAACTCCGGTCCTCTGGAAGAGTATCAGTGTTCTTTCCTGCCAGGCCAGCACTCTAGGCCTTGATGTGACTTATTTATGGATATGTAAAACACTGGAAACAAGAAATTTTTGGAGAATGTGAGGAAAAGAGCTGAGCTCACACACCTCTCTCCATATTCAGGTTTAGTAGGATGGGGAAAAAAGGGTATACAAGCAAATTCAATATAATGGAAGCATTGAACATACTTCTTTATTTCCAGATTAATACAGGCGCTCATTTACCCATTATTAAATACAGTGACAGATGCCCACAGCTCGCCATACACTAGTGGGTAGTAGGTTAATCTCAAGTACTCCCACATACTTCTGCTCAAACTTGTTGACGCTAGTTTAAGTAATTATATAATTTGATTATGGATCAGATCAACTTATTAAATTAAGAGAAGGGGTGTGGCACCTGGGGCTGTTTAAAGACTTGTAAAGGTGAACTGCTTTTAAAACATACTTTCAAATTTGCTATGAACCTGGAGACAGATGATAAGCATCTATCTATACAAATTGATTAGTGTTACTGCAGTATCTAAGTTCTTGCTTTGTGACTGAAGAAACCAAAACTGATCGTTTAAATTACACGCTTAATTTCCACAAGAAGGCAAAAGCAGATGGTCAACTGGCATCCACCCTACAATCAAAGCAGTTTTATCTTACATTCCTAAACAAGCAGCTAAACACTTTAAAATCCTAAGATACAACACAGGAATACATATTAATCATGGTGTGTTTGTTTTGAGATAGGACTCTCTGTGTAGCACTGAAACTTGCTAATGAAATAATTTCCTACCATCTAATTTAACTGACCATGGACCTCCCATATCACCTATGGGATTCTATCATACAACGTGACTATACTAAGTAAGACCACAAGTGCTACACGGCTGACACACAGTACTAAGTTCAATACAGAGAGAAATTATGTCCAACTGGAGGATCACAAAGAGCTTTGCTGGAAACCCTGACAACTGGGAAGAGTCAGAGACGGTAGGGATGATAAGGGAATTGGAGGTGGCTGGAACAGCCATGGCAGTAGTTTTTGATAAGCCTAGACACTCTTTTGTACTTGGAATTTTCAGCTCAGAAACGCAAACCACCAATGCCTAAGACTACACGGTCATGTTTGCAGTCTGCAAAGAGGACACACAAACTCATTCTACCAAGAGCCTGAATCACTCAGTCCTTCCCTTTCCTTCCCTAGGTCTGGGCATTTGTTCAACTTTTCTGTGGATGATAGGAGTAAAGTACCACTCAGCCGGCATGATGGCACATGCCTTAATCCCAGCACTCAGGAAAGCAGAGGCAGGCGGAGTTCTGTGAGTCAAGGCCAGCCCGGTCTACAAAGTGAGTTCGAGGACAGCCAGGGTGGTTACACAGAGAAACCTTGTCTCAAAAGACAAACACCTAGATCTTTTCTAACCTGTCCAACTCTTTGGTCAGATTGGTTTATCCATTTCTGTTCTTATTTTATAGCCAAAAGACTCTAATAAATATAATGGGAGCAGAAAGAAAATTAAGAGTAAATAAACAAAACATACCCCAAACACAGATTTGTAGCCTCCCAGTACCACTTTGAAGACTGGAGGGGAAGTGAATAGTTAAAGCTACCTCTAGCTTGAGCAAGCTGGATTACTAAGTAAGCAGGAAGGGTTTGTGTGAGCACTGGCACGTGAGCAATGAGATCAGCTAGGTTAGGAAGTCCTCAGGCATCC